CCCCTGAATTCAGGGCAGCAAACTGGAGCTGGGCTTGGTGAACAGCCAGCCTAGAAATCAGCTGTGTGAGAACCTCAGAAGGAACTACCATCATCTAGTTAGCTCTATTTCAAGCAAGAGAGCAAGGAAAACAACCTCAGCTCTTCATAGTTTCAGTGAGCATCTCATGCAGTTATCGTTTAAAATAAATTTTTTTTGTTTCTCATTGAAAGTCTGTTCTACTGCTAGGGTGCTGTAGAAAATGTAGATAATCTTGAATCTACAACAGCTGCTGTAGAAAATGTAGATAATCTTGAACCTACAACAGCTATAAATGCTCTGATTTCCAGCACTAAGAATGTCATTGCAAGCATTTTGTCTACTGCTAAGAATGAATATATCACTGCACAAACACTGAGGAAATAAACAGTTCAAGGGTTTATGCTGGGAGTAGTTACATTATTAAAACATGGAAGTGCTGTTGTGCCACAAACAGACATTGATGTGTGTAAAGGAGGCATCTTACTGTTCATGACTTCTGAAATAAATTAGATTTGCAGCATGTCATAATAGCAGTGGTTTGTAGCAGTGTAGCTGTGTGTGTGTGTGTTCTCATTTTCTTAAGTGTCACTGTTGCACGTAAGGATAAAATTTATTTGATGACACTTATGAATATTTATAAGCAAATTTTCTATGAATATTTCACAACAGAAGAGTTGCTCATATTCTTATTAATTAAGAAAACGAATAAAGTTGCCCTCTGAATGTTTTTTGATGTGCTGATACAGGGGAAACGTAACACAGTGGAGGGTTCAATTCTGCCCTTGTGTTCAAAGCCAGTGGATGGGAAAAGTGAGGTCCACTGGGCCAAACAGTTACTTAAATGATGTCATATTCCATCTAATACAAGTGTGTCAGATAAAAGGTCAAACCCAGATCACACTGGAGGCAGTGGCAGGGGAAAAGAGAGACTCGTATTAGTATTGCAGTCAGTGGGTGTAACTAAGGAGGTGGGAGAAGAGAATTGACTCCCCCTGTGTCTTTCACCTTAATTTATACCTTCCTGGTACTTTCATTTTTATGTACTTAAGGAGGTCATTTTATAGAATCACTAAAAAAAAAAGTTCACAGTTCTCCTATAATTAAATCACACAGTGGTTGCAGATGCTGATCTCTCCTCTACCAATGAAAATAAGTAGCTTTTACTAAATTTAAGGATTTTTCATGGCTTAAAAATATGCAGAGATGAAAATTAATCTTGATATTTTGAAGAAAAAAGCAATTACATACTTAACATGAAGCCAAAGTGTAGGATTTATGTTGTTTCTCATTTTGCTTTAGCTCAGGCTGTGTTCCTCCTAAAGTCCAGAACAGTTTCACACTTACAGGAGGCTGTTGGAAAGCACAAGAGGGGCTGGAGAAAAGTGGAACCTTCCTTCAGTAACAGTGCTGATTTTAGCCAGTTTAACCTAATCAAGAAAGTCTCTTAGTAAATTATTCTAAGTAACTTCTGAATAACAGAAATGGAAGCAGTAATAAGAGCTCTCTAGGTCATCTTAGTCTTCATTTTTTTCTATCACTCCAGTGGATGCCAGAGTCCTCAGAGCCCTCTTGAACATTTCAGATGGTTCAATAACAATGGGTAGCACACCACACCATTTTAATTAAGCTTGATGTGCATTGACCTTGAAATTGGATCAGAAGGTCTATTTAGTGAACAGTGTTGTAGCTAAATTCAACAATTGATTTTCACTGGTTAAGACTGGAAATGCCAGTGAGCAACTCCATGTAATTTCAGTTGGTCACTGGAGATAGTGGGGCCCTTCAGGGAGCTATAAATGTGCTTAAGTGGGAAAAGATGTTTAAATATTTCTCTCTGACTAGCACACAGGAATAAAAACGTTGATATCTTGATATTGTATGTAGAGAATGTCAATTAAAAAAATATCTCTCTAATGCCTATCATTTGAACTCTCAAATCCTTTCGCAAGTACGGAGTTTCTCAGTAGCACTGTAACACTCACAAAAGTTTATTTCCAATTTACTACTGGGAAATTGAATCTCCAACTGAATAAATAACTTGTCAAGATCAAATGGAAACACTGTCATGTTGCAGAATATTGAAGGGCTTTTAGTTTTTCTCTTTAACACATCAGACTTCAGATTTTATGACTGAATATTCCTCTCTGCCATTGTAAATGCAGGTTAAGGCCACTGATATCTGTGAGAGACATCAGTTTAAATCTTGAGCAAACAAGATCACAGTCAGCCTTTAATCTCTTGGCTCTTTTATGTAATACAGGATATATTTCTGAAGCTTGATATCTTCTTCTTCTTCTCAGCGGGGATATTATAAAACACAGCAAATACCATTCCCTTTTCAAATGGACATTAGTTGTTCTGACTGAGTGATTTTTATCTTACCCCTGATACATGTTTTCAGGAAGAAACACTGTTTTCAGGAAGAAGAGAGGGTAGAAGTGATTCTTCCTTGTTTCAATCATGTTTCACAGTAAAAATTACCAGGAATAGAAATTCATAAACACCTCATTTTTCTCCGAGTTTAGCTCTTGTTGCAGCAGTTGTTGCAGTGTTGTCAGTGGAGATGCTCCTGATACACAGAGTCTGGGCAGCCAGGGGACCCATCATGTACATTAATAGCTATTTATCCAAAATTTGCTCACTGGGTATCTCTCATATTTCTCTTTGGTGTTCATCAACCTTTGTTGTAGGCACATCTCAGAAGCCTTATAGCTTTGCAGTGTACTTGTAAATACTTGAGTTGGGGAAATGGAGCAATCTGGACTTCCTATAAATCAGACAGAATGGGCAGACCTCTGTGGGACAAGATATTACATATTGTTTGACAAATAAGGATAGGGCTGCCCTGCTACCACATAACTGAGTATGAAGGTTAAAATGTGTTGTACAAAAAATTATGAGCACAAGCAAACCTGGGGTTTGTATCTGCAACCAATTCCCCTTGTGCACTCAGCTTTTTTAAAAGGAACCATTACCTCTCCTTTGAGTTCTTGTTAGTCTAGAGAGAATATGTCCAGTTAGGGTTACCAGTTAGGGTACCAGTTACAGTGACTGGGATGATCTCCAGGCTTCCTAGTGTCCTCAGTAGCTAGTCACAGCCAGCAGCTTGCTTACACAGCAGGGAGGAACATTGGAGAGCTGTTGGAATAGCAGAACTCCCCTCCCAGCCACTTGCTCTTTGACTAGACCTGATGAACCTTTCTATGGTAATAATGCTAAGGATCTAAATAAGGAAAGCACATTAATAGGAGGGTGAAAACGTGTCATTGATTAGCACATCCATTTATGGCTGAGACTCCTGGGTTTTGCTGTGGAGTTACTAACACACACAGAGCTCCATTTCACCTATAGAGCTCTCCCTCTCTGCATCTGTTCAGCATCTCAATGAGAGATTCTGGCTCTGAGGATCATCAATAAATGCCAGCAATGAAGAAACAGAAAGAGAAACTCTAAGAATGCCTTAAACCCAAATACAATCTGATGTCATGAGGTATAAACCAGATTTCATTTTTCCCCCTGAAGAAGGAATTTCTCTTCCTTTGCCTCCCCAGAGCTTCCTGCAGTTCTGTGTTTACAATTGCAGAGATGATGCTGCAGTTATGTCAGAACCAGGACAATTGCATAATCTAACAAATTGAATGCAAACTGTCTCTCAGTGACAGCTGCCCTGTAATAACATTTGCCTCAGAAGCCAGGAGAATAATCTAACCTTTATTACCAATGGCAATCCAAAAACACATAGCCCAGCCCTACAAGTTTGGGTCACCAAAGGAGAAGGAAAAAATTTAAGCATTTCCCCAAAATAAAAATTTCTGCTAATGTAAGTGCAGAAAGTGTAGTCCTGCTGACTCATTCATAGTGGGGGTTTTTTCACTTAAAAATAACTTTAATGCTCTTTAGAGATTGACCTGTATGAACCATGTTATATATTTCCAAAGTGCAGTGGAAGACAGAAAAAATAGACTGAAAAGCAATTTTTCCTATAGAAAGGATCTTCAGTGCACTTCATTGACTTCGAAGCCCCACAAACTTATGACTTCCAAGATTCAATTTCCTTCAGCATGTATTTGTGTCTGAGTGATTTATTTGGAAAGGAAGGCTACGTTACAACCAGTGCTACCTTTGTGCACCTCAGTTTCAGTAAAATACGAAATTATACAGACACTGTTCAATCCAGTGAATGTATAAAGAATATTGTCTCTATTTGAACAACACTGAATATTTAGCTTCTCCCACCGGAGCTTCACTTAATCATCTGGTTGTGGAGATAAAACTGGAACATAATGGCCAGAGAGGGTGTGTATTCTCCCTCACTGGAGATATTCCAGAGCTGCCTGGATGCAATCCTGTGCCACGTGCTTTGGAATGACTCTGCTTGAGCAGGGAGGTGATCCCTTCCAACCTGACCCAGTGTGTGATTCTGTGATCCCAGGGTGATCTCCCTGCACAGGCTGCTCCCTTTGGCAGTGCAGGAGGTTGGTCTCACAGTGAGGTCCATTTGTGTGACGAAATCTGTACCCAGTAGAGACCACAAGCCCTCTATTTTGCAGAATTATTTTTATCAAGACTTTTGCAATGAAAACAACTGCTTGAGCATTTCATGTTGCTTTGTGTTCCCTTGCCACTGGCAAGAATGAAATCCCCCCTTTGACCATCACACACTTGCGTGCATTGCCCCTGTCCCTGCAATGGAGACTTGACCCAGGAATGCTGATCCCCCCAGGCAGCAACTTTCCCAGTGAGGATCTCTCTGCACTGAGTCCAATACTGGCCTCAAGTTGCCCTCAGAGTAACACAGGTTTTAAAGAGTTAGGCACCTTTTTTAGCACAGAGGCCACGACCAGGGCTTCACACTGCTCAGCACCAGCCATTCACACCAGGAAAAACTGCTCAGGGGAATACTCAGCATAGCCAGATGAGGCAGAATGGTAGGAAAAAAACAACACCCAAGAGAGGCAGGCAAAGATGAAATTACTTACCCAAGATCAAGTGTCAGATCAATAGCAGAGCTCAAAAGAGAGGTCACATTTCCTGTTAATGAACTGTACAAATACTCAATCTCTTGGTTCCTTCCACCTCTGCAGCCTGGACTTCTCTGTCATTGTTCACATCAGACATGATCATGCTAGCTACTGTTTCCCCTCTAGCCCTGTCATGAGAGCCCTCTCACCCCTCTCTGCTCCTGCACCTGATGCTCTGCCTCTGTTTCTTTCAATCCAAAACTCTCTCCAGGGCTCTACCACCTTCAAATTTCACTCTGTACGCTTTGTCTTGCAGTGAAGCACAAATTAAAACATTCTTACTGTAAAGATTTACACTGGTCTTCCCTCCAGTGCATGTTTTGGGGCACTTACGTATAGTGCCATATGTGAGAGCTGGCATCGGTCCCTGCCGATAGCATGTGCCTGCCACCTATTGGCATGTTTCTGTGGGCAGATGCAGGCAGATCCAGCTCCTCCATCAGCATTTGGATCTGTCCAAGTGCAAACCACCTCTAGTGATCCAGCTGCACCCCACTGCTGGTGAAGTTATGACCCCAGACATGCTGGTAGGAAGGATGACATGCAGGCAATGCAACTTCCTGGATCACCAGACTCCTACTGCCATTCCAGAGCTTGATCCACTGCCACTGCTTCATGGCAATGAAATTTCAGAAAACATATTCAAATATTTGCTTTCCTATTTTTAAAATGCACGTGGAAACAATAAACTGCTTTTGACGTCTCCATAAAATATCTATATTTGAGTTTTGCTTTAAATACATACGTATGTGTGTGTACATGTAAGGATGTATAAAGGCTTGTTTTCCTAACTTGGGCACAATCAGTGCTGCTCTCCTAATACGCCCTGCTGGGAAGGCTTTTTAAGCTTTTCTGAGTCAGAATGTATTTGCTTGTGCATAGCACTGGGTTAATGAGTGTGTGTGACATCTCAACCACAAGTCTTTTGTAGCTACCAACTAGGAGCACGAACAAAAGACCCCAAGTCTCCCTGTACCTACTTGAGAGGTTTGCTCTATGTTCAAGTCAACCTCTTGTTTTGAGATCTCTTCTTCCTATAATTTTACCCTGAAAGCTTTTAGTGTTAGCACCCTTTTGAAGAGTGATTCTGTTAAATGAGAATTTGTCAGCAAAGAGGGTTTCTTTTCAGCATTTTCTTTTTGGTGTTAATTTAACAGCAGTTTTAGTTAACTGAAATACCGCTGGTCCATGCTTCTCTCCTGCAGAGCACCTCAGTGGTCAGCTGTTAGTATGCCAGGATATGCCATGACTGACTGGAGTAATCTGTCAGGGAAAAAAATCCCAGAGCCTACTGCAAACAGGCTAAGTGCTCGTATTGCTTGTAGGGAGTAAGGAATCACCTGTCACTGAATCTGAAGACTCAACACTCTGTGCAGATGACACTTCCACCCCCATATCTGCAATTTCTTTCATCTTAAGAGAGAAGGTGGTTTTCTTGATCGCAATTGCAATGTTGTTATTTACATATGCACACAGAAATAAGCCACATTGTGTGAAGTTAAGGCTTGTCAGTGCTGCTGTGGCCGTCTCTTGAGATGAATTTGCCTGTCCTTGCTCTGCTGGGATCAGCTTTTCCGCCCACCGTGTTCTGGAGCTGCCTCTCCCGTCCTCCCTCCAACTCTTCAGCACACAGTACACGCTCTCATGTAGCATCCTGTCAATGTGCTTCTCCTCAGAGCCTCCATGCACTGGGAATATCATATAATATTGGGGGTTTTCCCCTGTGCTGCCCCTCAAGCTTCTCTCTTCAGTTTCTTTGCAGTACTAGGCCTGTTTTTAATACATATTTGTTTTGCATATCTTCTCTGGACCTGTTTTCACCAGTTTCCAATATGGGAATTAGCCCTGTGCCCCACTGTGTGCAATCCCCAGAGCAAAGCTTAGCTGGCTTCATCAGAGCCCAGAAGATTGCCAACAGCACAGGCTCAGTGTGTGGTATAACAAACAGATGGTTCCTTTCCAGCCCGGAGTCAGGAGACATCATGAGGCTGTATTGCTCCTGTGGCTGAAAATCTGCTGACTTCTCCATGGAGAAGACTGGGAGGACCAACACTGCTCCTGCCCTGTTTCCCCCTGCACAGACAAAGCAGGGGGGGAGGATGGAGGGGAGTAACCACAAACAGGTGATTTCCTCGGTTCACAGCACTCCCACAAGCTTTTAGCTGCTTTTAGCTGCTTATTAACTGCGAGATGCATCTTGTTCAGATGTCTGTGTCCTCTGCTTTTCTGTGCCATGTGTCTTGCCTATCTAGATGAAGAGATCCCTAGAGTGCTTACCCATTACCCTGGGCTTGTGTAATGAATAATGGTTTTCAGGAAAAGGCCTGAAAAAGGAAATGCTAAAAACAAAGTTTCTTCCACTCTTAAATTTGCTCTGTCAGCATCTACAGATCTGAAAGCTTTGAAAGCTATCAACCCATTTTTTGGATCATTAGGCCCTTTCAAAACAAAGCAATTACATTTTCAGCAGAATAGTGGCTTGGAGATGCCCACCTTCTAAAGTGCTTCACTTGCCTTGGCCCAGTGTTAGCCTGGATGAAACTGTTCTATGGAGGTGGCATTTTCTGGAAAAAAAACAAAGGGCTTTGAAACATATTTCAGACAGTTTCACATAATGGATTGCCAGTTTCTCACACAATGGAGAAATCAGTACATTCATCAGGAACTGCATTTCACAAGTGGGAGACACAGCTCTCCTTATTTTAATCTTTTCATTTGAAACAGGAGATCTGTTCAAACTAGGATATCATTCTATGTCACACAGAACAATCCCAACTTGTAAATGATAAGATCCCTGGAAGACGAAAAAAAAAAGTAATTTAGAACAAATATATGCACAAGTAGGAAAGTCAGAATTGCTAAAAATAATCTTGTTTTCCTAAACAGAGATAAATTGGACCACAATAGGGAGACTGAAAAGAAACTGCATTTAATGATGTCTTGCATTGAAGTAATCCACTTTATCTTGAAGAAGGTGACCTGTTTACAGTTTGCACATCATCTTCAATATTCCTCCCATACTCAGCTGAGTCTAATGAATGTGTCACTTGTTTGAACAGCACAGCACAGATTTTGTGCAGAGCTTCTTGACATCCTGTCTGGGTAAAACAGGGCAAAGCACCCTTTGCATTTCATTCTTGTATTTTTTTATTAAGAAAAGGCAACATGGGGATGAAGGAAAAAGTCAAAAGGAGAGACCTTACAAAGCTTAACACTGGGAAAAGATGATTTCTTTGAGGGGAGACCAGACTATGAGTTAAAGGGGAAAAATGTGGAGAATTTTCCAGGCAAAACAATTTCTAGCTGCAGTAGGCACAAATGTGATCATTGTTTATGAAAACTGAGTGATGGAACAGGACAGAGAACTTTACACTTTTACAGCCTCTGTCCTACCAATTCACTGAACATCTTTATTCTCAGCAGATTTCTGAGTAAATCAATCACTCTGTGCCATGGTGATGAGCTGACTCTCCAAACATGAAGAGTACTAAACGCTTAGCAACAATTACTGGAGAACTTTCAGATATTTAAATCAAAGTCCGGTCAAACCTCATTAAGAAAAATCTAATCCCAAAAGAGTGAATTGAAATGAACCAAGCAGCAGCGAGAAAAACAATTTTCCAGTGCTTGGAACTGTCTGATATTGCTTTTTTTAGTTGCATTTGAAAAGGTTTTATTCTTTGTGATACTTTGTTTACTTCCCTCCTGCATAAATCATCCAGGCATTTCATTGTCTGTTTGGATGCATTTCTTCAGCAAGTTGTCAGACAAGTGTGGGTGCAAAATGATGGCCCAGGAGAGAGGCTACACTTGGAAATGTCAAAGCCAGCCACACAAGGAGGTGGTATTACTTGGCATTTCATTCATTGGAATTGCTATTCATGGAGATTTCCAAGTCCCAAATGTTAAATAAGCATCTATTTAAGGGGCACTGGCGGTCTGTCTTGAAGAGCTGATTTTTTCCCCAGCTGAGGTGTTTGTTATCTCTATGGTGACTCCGATGATTCGCGTGACTCACATGTCCAATTAGCTCAGGAACACGCCGTGCTATCTTTAAACAAGGGTTCAATTGCAGAGCAGAGTCTGCATGGAGCTGCAGTTTGGGGATGAGGTAGGCAGCTCCCCCTCCACCTCCTTCTCTTACACTCCACTTGGGGAAACAGCCTTCCACCCATTTCTTCAGTGACTGCCAAACTCCTTGTTTCACAGACTCTGTAGCGCCTAAAATGTGGCCAGTGTGCTACCATATTTAGGGATGAAAACAACAGGGGAACTGGAGTAGAACTTTCACTCTCTTCCCATTTTCACTCATTTTCATACACAGCTGCATGATTTGAATTAATTTCACCTGTTCTTCAGTCAGAGTTTAGGACATGAGTGAGCGAAAGTGAATTTAAGTCACATTTATTCCTCCTTGATTCCAGCCTGGCTTTAGGCCAGTCCAGTCATCTCCAAGTAGCTATTTTTAGGCTCTGCACCAGCTCATGTCTTGAAGCACTTGACATGATATGACAAACATTTTTAAGATCTCTCAGTAGAAGGTTATGCATATTCTTTGCCAGGAAAGAGCAAACAAACCAAATAGCCCAATAAATTACTTTTAAAAAGAAATTTTCACAGGGTCACCAGAGGGATTTGTGAAGCAGAGCTGGTAAAAGTATAAGGGCCTTTGATGGAATGTGGATTTTTCTGTTCTGAACTGGTTGCTCTCCTGTTCTCACAAGCAGGCTGTGATAGAAATAATGTGTGTTTAGACAGTAGACAATAAAAGATAATGTTAATCTGTCAATGAAAAATTAAGCAATAACATCTCTTAAATTCTTACATTTTATTTATTATTTATATTTATATAGTATACTATATTTTATAGATTATATTAGATTATGTAATATATAAAAAGTGTTATATTATATCATAAATTATATTTATTTTTTCTTTTAATCCTTTTTAAATATTTTAAATTCTTTTATAATTAAGCAATAATATCTTCTCAATTCTCACATTCAAAGTCTTTTAAAGTTTTTAATACTTAAATTCATCTTTGAAATTCACAGCCAGGGGTCTCAAAATGCTGGTTTAAGTAGACATTCACAAACATGGCAGATGAAGCTGCGCACAAACTCCCAGTCAAACCATTCCTGATGCCTCTCAAAACACAGACTGGGTTATACACCACCTACTCCCTTAGGAACTAAATAAAACAATCTATTTTTATTACTAAAAATCAG